CTGTTTGTATAACATTTTATCTAGATGGAAAGTGGCACATTTAATACCACTATATCAGTTGAGGGGCAGATTATGTTTTTTTTGTAGGTCATCTTTTCCATGCTTATAATTTTTAAGTCTGGGAAAGGTATTGGACTAGGTTTAACTGTAGTGTAGTATGCGAGGCAGTTTAAGGCCTGCAGTCTAGAAAAAGGTGCCTTGATTTCTGGAATGAAAACAAGTACATTTCTGTACTTGAATCATTTTTCAAGAAAGCAAAAAAGGAAGGAGGAGTGGTATGCATAATTAAGATTGCGATGGTAATAAAAGCAAAAATAATTTACATTTTATTGACATTGTAGGTTAAACTACTAGGGTTGTTTTTATTGAAAGAGAAAGTAATTTATCTGAATGTGACATTAAGGATTCCAAGTTCTATATAATTTGAAAGGACCTTATCCTTGGGGGATATCTATGAACATTTGTTTTAGATGCGTTAAGCCAAATGCAAATCTTCCTAATGTATATCTCTCCCAGTTTCAATGTGATGTGTTGTAATACTACATTATTGCCACCAGTTGGAGCTGAGGAGCATAGGAATTAAACAGTGTCAGAAAAATGTGTGAATGGTTTTGCCAATTGTTTATAAATAGACCCATAAATATCACTTTGAATGTTAATGGTTGTTGAAATGGATTTTGACTCGAGAATTTAATTATTTTCATTTCTTTTTTATAAAGTTTCCCCTGGAGCCACAACTGGTAAGAATTTCTCTTTTGAATTTCCGCCTTTTGAATTTGAAATCCACTTCTGGGCAATTGGGTCAAAATATAAATTTTATTGATATTTGTTATTGTCCTAAAGGTTGTTCAGAGTACAGATTGTGGCAAATTTAATACCACTAAATCAGTTGAGGGGCAGATTATGTTTCTTTGTAGGCCATCTTTTGCATGCTTATCTTTTTTCAGTGTGTAAAGGTTTTGGACTAGGTTTAACTTAATGTAGTTTGCAAGGCAGTTTAAGACCAGCAGTCTAGAAATAGGTGCCTTGATTTCTGGAATGAAAACAAGTACATTTCTGTACTTGAATCATTTTTCAAGAAAGCAAAAAAGGAAGAAGGAGTGGTATGCATAATTTAGATTGCGGTGGTAATGAATGCAAAAAGAATTGACTATTAATTCACATTGTAGTTTAAAATACTAGGGTTTTTGTATTGAGAAAGTGATTGATCTGAACGTGACATTAAGGATTCCAATAATATATAATTTGAAAGGCCCTTAACCTTGGGGATATCTGTGAACGCTTGTTTTGGATGAGAAGCCAAATGCAAATTTTCCTAATATATATCTTTCCAGTTTGAATGTGATGTGTTGTAATACTACATTATTGCCACAGTTGCAGCACAGGAGCAAAGGGGACAAACAGTGTCAGAAAAATGTGTGAAGGGTTTTGCCAATTGTTTATAAATAGACCCCTAAATATCACTTTGAATGTTAATGGTTGTTAAAATTTATTTTGAATTGAGATTTTAATTATTTTAATTCCTCTTCTATAAAGTTTCCCCAAGCGCCACAACTGGTAAGAATTTCTCTTTTGAATTTCCGTCTTTTGAGTTTGAAATCCACTTATGGGCGATTGGGTCAAAATATCAATTTTCTTGATATTTGTTATTGTCCTAAAGATTGTTCAGAGTACAGATTGTCAAGTATCATATGTTTTGTCCTCACATAGAAAATCACCAGTAAAGTTCTAATGGTCTGCTGTTTGTATGGGAATTTTATCTAGATGGAAAGTGGCACATTTAATACCACTGAATCAGTTGTGTGGCAGATTATGTTTCTTTGTAGGCCATCTTTTCCATGCTTATCTTTTTTCAGTCTGGGAAAGGTTTTAGACTAGGTTTAACTGTAGTGTAGTTTGCAAGGCAGTTTAAGACCTGCAGTCTAGAAATAGGTGCCTTGATTTCTGGAATGAAAACAAGTAATTTTCTGTACTTGAATCATTTTTCAAGGAAACAAAAAAGAAAGGAAAAAGGAGTGGTATGCATAATTTAGATTGCGGTTGTAATGAAAGCAAAAATAATTTACTTTTAATGACATTGTAGGTATAAATACTAGGGGTTTTTTATTGAGAAAGTAATTGCTCTGAATGTGACATTAAGGATTCCAATTATTCTAATTTTAAAGGCCCTTAACTTTTGGTGATATCTGTAAATGTTTGTTTTGGGTGCGTTAAGCCAAATTCAAATTTTTGTAATGTATATATTTTAGGATACCAGGTAGGAATTTCACCATTGTTGACAGTCCTTTTTTCTTAAAATAGTACTGTTTTAAGGATAGAAAAATGTAGAAGCTCCGTTTTTTCAGATTACTTTTTCACTTTATAATAACCCTGTAGAGCTTTTATTAAATCTCAAGAGTAAAATTTTAGTCATCCTTGTTTTTTTGATCCATTGAATTAAAAGACATGGTATATTTTAGCCTCTGACATGGATAGTTATTATTGTTTGTAATCTTAGTAGTGTTTAAATACAATACACTACCCTTCCTGTCAAACCCAAGCTAAACTACACTTCATATATATATAATATATCTTCTGTGGCAACCTCACTGGACATTCTCTCCGCTGGCCACTGCTCTGACTGCTTGCCTTCCATGCATGCAACAACATCATCCCAAAGACTACAATTTCTGGTTACACACACATCATCTGGTTCCTCTACCATTACCAGCTTGTCTGGCGACACTTCACCTTTACTTTTGTTCCTGGGTCTTGGACCAAATCTCTGCTGCTGTCAAGTCTTTACTTGGCCCTTCTGCGTTTTGGGGGTAATCCGCTGCTGTAGTCCCTGTGTCCTCTTCTATTAGCTGACTAGCAGCCCCTCTGACTAGAACAGCAGAAATTTTGTTCGCCCAGTAATTGCCTGACTCATAAACATCACACACTAGTATCCCATTCTTGTTTTTATCCGAGGTCTCCTGCACCATTTTGTCTCATCACTCGGCCCTTGTAACTCCTGAGGGGAAACTGCTGCTACCACACAGGTGCTCCCACCAGCACCAAGGCTAGCAGCCCCTCGATCAGGAACTGCAGAAATAGTCTCTGTCTGTCCGCCCGTAGAAAAAAACGGACGGACGGCTGACTCGCATCAGCGGGTTGCCATCTCCAGACGGCATTTTTTTCCTGCTCGAGCGCGCCCCCTAGCGCGTGCACGGGCAGGAAAGACCCGCTCGTTAACGGCTGTTTCACATACAACCGATCATCGGCTCTATAGCCGCCAAACGGTTGTATGGCGTGATTTTTTCGGCAGCCCCCCCCTCGAGTGCCGCTGACCCCCCCTCCTGACCCCTCACCTTCAATCCCGGGATCCGCTGGTCCATCTGCGGCCCATCTGGGTCGGGAGGGCGTCAGGAGGAGAATGGAGGGAGTTCAGCTCCTTGCTGATCTCCCTCCGGGCTGTGAATGCAGAAGTGATGTGTATCACATCACTTCCGCATTCACCTGTCAGTCATCTGGCTGCTATAGCCAGAGAGAAGAAGCTGATGAAGCAGATCACATATAAACGTAAAAACGCGCCCGGTGCACTAGCGCGCAAAAACGTCAATTGCGCTACACATGTTACATATCGCCGCGAACGTTGAAGTGAGAGCAATCATTTTAGGGCTTTCAATCACTGATAACACTAAACTGATGAGCAGTAAAAGCTTTTCAAGCGTCGCCTATGGCCAATTTTGGGCAATGTAGTTTTGTTAAGGTTTCGCGCGCGTGCACAATTTTAAGGCTTGACATGTTTGGTGTCTTTTTACCCGATGTGACCCCGTCTTTTATATTTTACCAAAAAATTGGGTAATAAATGTTTTAGAATTTAATATTAGGGGAAACAGTTTTTTTTAATTTTCTGTAATTTTTCCTTAATATATTAAAAAATAAACATCCCAGTGGTGATTAAATACCACCAAAAGAAAACTCTGTCTGTCCCCAAATAAGGGTATAAAATTCATTTCAGTACAGCGTTGCATGACGGAATAAATGTCAGTCAAAGTACCGCAGTGCTGAATACTGAAAAATGGCCTGGATGGGAAGGGGGTTTAACACCCCAGACTTCAAGTGGTTAACATAGACAGTTAACTCTTAGTCAAGCTTTCCCAATCCACCCATTCTGTGCTCCCCTCAAATGCACCCTGTGACATCAAAGCCGTCAGAGAGGGAGACACAGAAGGCTTTGGCAGCTGAAAAGCAGACATGCCGCGTAAACATTCAGTTACCAACACAGGTGGAGTGACCAAGTTTTCTTGTACATCTACTTTCTTTACCATACTCTCATTATTGTTCCTGTTACCCGTCAGGCCAGCACAACGGTTATCCTGGGAAACCCTGAGCTGCAGCTTACTGGACTCCACGGAAAGCTCCCAAGGATACCTCTGCTGCCCCAGTCTTGGTTGCTAACAGCAACAACCCATTTTCAACATTGTGATTGTGCATCACCTCAGGACCAGTAACAACACTTTCTGCCTCTGCCATAGTCACATTACTGGCTGCACTTTTAGTTGTATCCAACAGGGCGGCACCACCATTGTCCTTGGTAACCCCTGGTTTCTGCACACAGGGCTCTTCAAGAGTTTCCAGGGACTCCTCTGCTGCATTAAACAACTTCCGTAGATGAGTAAAAAAATTAAGATCAGGGGTTACCCCTACCACATTCAAGTTAACCCCTTGTCCACATGACACAGGTGTATACTGAGAGCCACTATCATCTTCAGTCAGCACCACAGACTCAGACTTTGCTTTAACTCTTGCCTCCCCTTTATACAAGGCAGTTCTTACGGGCATTGCAAGTCTTTTTCAAAGTCTGCAGTGGGTTTTCCACTTGGGATCACTCCCACTTTCCAGCATGCAAGGTTACCGACAGTCTCCATAGTAAACGCATTATCAGTCCCAGCAAACAAGTCCTTGAAGACAGTCTTACCAGTAACTATGATGTTCGTTCCTGCAGGCTGTATGGAAAGTTCTTTTGCGTTGCCATGAGCAACTGCCGACACTGTTGCATAGCCATTCTGGTTTGCGGGCTTGCTCTCACGCCCACTGGTACCTCCAGAAGTACCCCACAACACAAGACATGTGGCAATACCATGCCCATGTTGGCCACACTCCAGACAGGGTGATGGCTGTTGCGGACCCCACAGCTCAGGGCATGTCACCATATTATGCACCTCCTGGACACACACTCCGCACGGTGCAGGCCGATCAAATGACCCTCGTCAGGTCATCCCGTAATTTACACAGGTCACCTGGAACTATTTCTCCCCTGTATCTTGTCTTCCCAGTTGCTACACGAAACTGCTCTTTCACTGTGTACTTGCTTTCTCTCCTGGCTTTGCTGGACTTTCTCTCTCTCCACATGCTGACTTGGCCCCACTCCTCCACAGATGACATCCTTGGCACACGGTCAGCAGGTCTCATTTAATTGGCGTTGCTACTGACTACGGAGTTTCTGTTCAGCCCTTCGCTCTCTCTCTCTGGGCAGTCTGAGCGAGCTTCACAGTAGCTGGGGTTAAGGCAGCACAACTGAGGTTATACCAGTCCAAAAAAGATGCACAGTCTGACACAGGTTTTCCTGGCCCCTCTGCAGCTTCCAAGGGCGTTGACCACCAAACTCTTTTGGCCATTTTATCATTGTCCCTTCTGTTTAGAGCAAACCATTGTCACAGGCACTTAGTTCATGCAGTACACAGCAGTCTGCACTCTCCAGACAAATAAGTGCACTGCTCCTTTAAAGGAGAACTATGAGATGAGTGATTTCCACTCACCTCATAGTTCTAAGCTGACCTGTGACAATGAGGCTGTCACAGGTCGGCTCAGTAGATCGGGAGGTGAGGGAACACATACCGGGTTCCCTCACCTCTCGATCCTGTCACGGCTCTCTGCCGTGACAGGGGGGGGGCTGGATTCCCCTCTCCCCGCTCCGATCTGCCAGCGCTGACTGGCGGAACGGACGGGGGAGGGGGCAGGTACAGCTGGCTCTGCCTCTAGATAGGCAGAGCCAGCTGTCACTCACGCAGCTGGGCGGATCCCGTCATCTACGTCAGGATCCGCTCCAGGTGCGGCGTCTCAGTATACCGCGAGCTGTAGCTGGCGGTATACTGAGCTTAGGGTAACGGGAGGACGCTAGTTTGTGTCCTCCCGTTACCCTAAGGAGAACTATGCGGAAAAACACTGACCCCATAGTTCTCCTTTAAGGGTCTCACACAGAACAGGCTGTCTCTCTTCAACAGTTCACGGGAACTTTTGCTGAGACTCCTGTCGCTTTAAGCAGTCCAAACAAATGGCTTTTTTTCTGGCTAAGTGCCCGCATTCTCCACCAGCTGTAACCAGCTAGGGTATTTAAGGACCCTTAGCTAGGCGGTTTTGGAATATGACAACTTTATTCTCTTCCAAACAGTACAACTTAAATTGCTTCTTTTCAGCAAACAAACATAAACATAAGGGTGTATCTTCCAACAACATCCAAGATATGTCTCAGCACTGATATCATGTCCCACCTCAGGGTTAGAACCTCAGCCGTCTCATGGCCAGACACCCAACAGCTACACACCTCCCTGTGTGAGGACAGTCCTCCCGACCTTTCCAAACACATCTCCTGTGCCAAATACCCTCCGGGCCTTGCCCACACACCGCATGTGCCACAGGCCCTGTCCAGCCAGACTCCAGCTCAGTGTCTCGTGTGTCACATACACAGTCTCCCATGTTCTGCATGTACTCCTGCTCCACTGACTGCCTCTTCCTCTCTGTCCACTCTCTTAATTGGGCTGTTATCAGCCACTTGAACAGTCTGTCCTGGCAATTGGCTGCACATGGCCCCAGGACTGGAGATTTCATCCCGCCCAAGACTCTTAGAAATCCCATACCCATACCCATATCCCAGTTATACTCCAGAAAACCCAGATAGAACTGGAAACCCAGCTCCTTCCCTGTAACACTATATGTTTTCTGGACCCTGTCAGCCCCCCCGGCCAAGAGTCCTAGGCGCCAAACACACCATATTGATATGGCACTGTCCTGTGCCTGCAGAGCACTTATTCATTTTACATTTTAGTGAACCTTTAATTTTATCATGGTATGTTTTGTCCTCTCACATGAATAGATTATTTCCTTAGCAGTGTTTAAAGACAGCTGTACTTTTATATAAACCAACACTACTGTTACCATATGATGTTTATATCAAATCTCCATGAACATATGTATATAGTATTTGTAAATACATATATTCTATGTTGCTATGTTGGGTGACTGAATGGGAGTAATAAAAAAGGTGTCTTTTCTGTCCTGGGGGGTTGAATACAGGGTACCTTTGAATGTTTTATATGGATCTGCCCAGGCATAGCCTGTTAATTGCAAATAGCCAGAACAAGTACAATAGGCTGGCTCCAGGATGGTTTACTTAGACAGTGGGAGCAAACTATCTGTTGTCTCTAGTTAACAGCTCCAAGGCATCCCATTAGTTAAGTTATATGGGGACTGCCATGGTAATGATACATATCTTGTCTTGGGGATAGTCTGCAAACACCTGAACTTTTTTTATTTTGCTTCCAAATTTTTGTACAGTTGAAGTCATTAAAGATTTGCAATTAAAGGGGTTGGATGCTGTAAAAAGGGCATTTGATGAAAGTCCAATCCCCAGAGGACTACTTTAATTTGATTTGATTAGTACTTTGAGGACACCATTTAGTGCCAATCCATTTAGGTCTATGGAGGCAAGCCCTATATTAGTCCAAACATTGAAGGAAAACCTAGTCTTTTTGTCACCAAAAGGGCCCACACAGGAACATCACCTGGTAATTATCCAGATACTCCTCTGCACTTATATATGTTGCATGCTTGTCATATATACATGTATGAATGTATATATATATACATATGTATATATATACATGGCAGCCTTCAGAAATTTCGGGGCCCCTTACACGGCTTTAGGCCAGGGCCCCCCCCCGCACGGTTGTCGTTGCCCCCCCCCCGCACCGCCGCCACGCTGAGCCAGTCACACTGTTAATATTATACATTTATATAGCTCTGATATATACCGCAATGCTGTACAGAGAACACTGAGCCAGTCACATCATTCCCTGTACAGAGGAGCTTACACTCTAATGCAGAATGGCACCGCTTGTAGGGGGACTACAAATCCCAGCAATACATTTATACAGCAATGCAGAACAGTATATGAATTGGCTTAGTTGCGCGCCGGACTCTGGGCTTAGTTGCGCGTCGGACTCTGGGCTTAGTTGCGCACCGTACTCTGGGCTTAGTTGCGCGCCGAGTTTCGAGCTGGACTCTGGCCTTAGTTACGCGCTGGACACAGGACCCACCTGAGACCCCACACAGCCCACCTAAAAGTGACCCTGCAGAGCACACCATACATGCTGCTCAGCCCATCTGAGACTCTCTATGGTGGGCTCTGCAGGGGTCCCAGGTGGGCTGGTTCGGGCTGCATCTCCCTCTCAGCTCCTCTTACCTGCTCCTGCTGCTGGTGTCTGGCCTCCTCTGTCGCCGGACTGGCTGGAAGTGACGTAATCCCCGCTACCTCTGGCCACTCGTCTGCGTCGCTGTCAGACTAGGATAGTGATGGCGAATTTTTTTTGAACCCGAGTGCCCAAACTGCAACGCAAAATCAATTTATTTATCTCAAAGTGCCAACTCTGAAAATAACTTTAGTATTGCGATGCAGTTCGGGCGCTCGGGTTTCAAAAAATTTCAGCATCACTGCTTCAGGGAAAATAGGGAAACACACACATTCAAATATTTATACACTCATTAACCACTTGCTGCCCGGAGCAATTTCTTACACTTGCGCACACATGATAAAATCTGAATTTTTGGGTAGAAAACAGCTTCGGACCCCCAAACAATGATATATGTTCTGAAAGCCGAGGTCCTGTACAATAAAAAGATACTGGTTGCAATTTTTTATGTCGCACGGTATTTGCGCAAATGTATTTCTAGGATAAAATACACTAAAATGAAATTTAGTGCACAGAATCAGAATATAATGGATCATTTTTTGGTACAATATAAAAGACGGGGTCACGCCTCGCAAATAGATACTAAACATGTCAAGCATCCATGAAACCGCCAAAAACTACAATAACCAAAATCTTTCATAAGCGACGCTTTAAATGCTTTTACGGCTCATCAGTTTAGTGCTATCCGTGATTGATGGGCCAAGAATTATTGCTCACTCTGACGCCCGTGACGATACATAACATGTGTGGCGTAATTTTTGTTTTTGCATGTAGGTGCATCCGACACGTGTTTGTGTTGTATGTGCGTGCACGTGGGGAAAGGGGAAACGTTAAAAAAAATTTGCATTTAAATTTCATTTTTACCATCTTTTTACACTCAGCTTTATTGCTACCACATAGCGGGCTCAAAAGCCCCTTATGTAATAGCACATATAATGTGACAGGTCCTCTTCATGGCTCTTCATAGCTGTCACCTAGGGACCCCAAAGAGCCAGAAGCTTCTTCTTCTGGCTGTAAGGGGTTGTCCACACCACTTGCAGTGCGTCCCGGCCCGATTCCGGCCGGAACACACTGCATCACATTGCGGCCGGCTCAATTTTTGCCGGGTAGGAGGGGGAATGGCGGGCCATTGAAGTGAATGGCGCCATAGCCACGCCCTCCAGCCACAATGCGATCGCCCGCACGGGATCGCAGGGCACATTGTGCCTGCATCCCGATGCGGTCAAAATAGTGCTTACAGCATTTTGACCGCACCGGAACGCACTGCAGGCAGAACGTGCCCTGCGATCCTGTGTGGGCGATCACATTGCGGCCGGAGGGTGTGGCTACGGCACCATTCACTTTAATGGCCCGCCACGCCCCCTTCTGCTCCTTTCTACCCACTCACAAAAGTGAACCGGCTGCAATGCGTTGCAGTGCATTCTGGCCGGAACGTGCTGCAATGCGATGCAGTGCATTCTGGCCGGAACGCACTGTAAGTGGTCTGAACAGGCCCTAAGAGCCAGAGACTGTGTACAGTGACACCATAAGTGATGTAATGCACATCACTTCCGGGTCCAGTGATCGGAG